TAATCAGAGTAATTCATTTCAGTGGAGACTGTGCGAGAAAATAGGTAAAAGATTTTCTGCCAAGTTTATCAGGCAGGCGCCTTGATTTAGAGTCAGTCAGTTTGTGTGCCAATTATTGTTTTGTCATTGTCATCTAAGGTTATCAGAGCTTAGACAGCAGAGCAGCCCAGATTTATGATGTTTAACCATTGGAATGGTACTTCAGTTTGATATAAGTGAGTCACTTTCAGTAACCAGTCGGTGTTTCTGTCTGTCTGTTATATAGGCTGATAATTATACTGTTTGTACGGTTTTATTGTTTATAATGTTGACCAAATCAGGTTGATTGCTAGCGAGACAGATATAAATGAAAAGGTTGATAATTGCCCATATTTTGCAACATAACAAATGGATCACTCTTTCTGGCAAGCTCCGTCCGGTTAAGAATGAAACCAACATGTCTAGTAGATGCGGAATGAGGTGTCAGTGCGTTGTCTATTTATATAACCGTTAGTTTTCATCACTTCCCGATTCATGGTTCAAAACAATAAAAGTGAATCATATCATACCAGATGTTAATAAAGAAAACGCACATTGTAAAAAAAAAGTTATTTCTTTCTTGCGCCGACTTTACTTTTAACGAAATATTCCACAGCCCCCTTGCTTCTAGTCAACTAGAGGAACCATTTAGGCAGGTCACGGTTCCATGGTATTTATGCGCCTGCAGTGCATGGATGTATCATGGAGTCGTGGCCTGCTTAAGTGCCCTTTCTTCCCATTGGCCACTAGAAGCTAGGGGGCGGTATGGTATCGCGATACTACCACGTATAAAGTTTCCATCTGTTTTACACTACCGCGGTGTCGGTGTAAACTAAGAAATGAAATTTTACGCCGTTAAAATCCTGTATCATTAATTTTAATGGTGGAATCGAAAGCTTTCACTCGTTGAGTCTATCCGGTAACATCGGGGTTATTTTGTTCTTCTAAAATGAAACATGTTTAATTATTACTTTGAACCATGGATAAATAAGCGAAGAACTTTAACCTGATTTCACGGACTCCAAAGTATAAGAACTGATTTGAATTCCAAGGAATTTGATGGGGTGAGGGAAGGTTGGTAATCTTTGTGCTGTTTGGTACTTGGAATTACAGTAAGATAATTAGTTGTGGTAGTAGTCTAATTACGAGCAGTGAGATAATTATAGGGATCATTGTCATTGTATAAACATCTGAGCACATGGTTCGTTACATATTTGTGTGGATTTTTAAGTTTCCATTTTTCTGTCATTGTCTGACTTTTCTGACGCGACGTTTCTGTTCAGATGTGGAAGCAGCAAACGAAGTGTGTTCGTGGACGTTCTACGGGTACGGTCGTAAGGTTGCCGAGGTGTGCTGCACTTCGATTCTCTACGCCACGGACAAAAAGCATACTAAGGTAATGAGGAGCTGGTGATTCATTGAATTGTTAATTAGTATGCTCCTGAACTTCAGACGGAATCATGTCACTATTCTACTACAGACTGTGGTTTCTCGTCACTTTGCTTTGCTTATTTGATAATATAACACTCACACACTTTATCTGTAAAGCTCACCTTTCACTCATTTGTGATACTCAGTATTGGGCAAATGGCTTGAAATTGTAATTAGGCGCAGAACGTTGATTTATTTGCTACGAAGCTTTCAGAAAGCCTCGAACCATTTATAAACTTTATAAACGTGACCGAAGTTTGCTACTTTTGGGTTTGCCTATCGTTTTAAATTCCTTGCTTACCTTTTTCTCCTGGGTTTAAGTGATCAACTGTCGCATCATCCGTCACAGAGTCAGTAGAAGTAATTTGAACTAAGCGTGTGTAACTAGACTTAGCATAGACTTAAGAAGTGGAAAGGTCCTTGTAGGCAGCCTGCTGAAGAACGAGTTAGGAAAGATCATTTGGATATAAGCACTTGAATTTGTTTTAGAATGACAATCTCAGCCATGTAGTGTGTAAAGAACTACCACAGGGTCGTATTTTCTGCGGTTAGTCACACATTCAGATTGAACCTTCTCAAAATAGTTGACTAACTTGAATTGAGCTTTATGCGGAAGCAGTAACGCCAATTATCAATCTTTTGAATTTGAGAAAGATGCATATACCGCATCTGATGTAGATGCTGAGATTTTAAAGTAAACTTATTAGAAACTACATTCTAACACGCTTCGTATGAATGGCGCTGATTAATGTGGTAATGCGATTCGTTAATATCTCT